CAAACCGCTCTGTGATTCTATGATTAGTCTCTGGGGCGTCTGTGAAAGGCACCTGACTGCTGTAGATGGGAAAGAATGGGGAGTAAAGGAGAGATTTACAAGGAGAGAGCGAGAGGAGAAACCCTGAGTTGTGTCCACCTTTTCCAGACCGTCTCCTGTCATCTGGCTGCGGTGTGTTACTGCCGGTGTAGGCGAGGTGCTTTGGAGAGCCCCCTTCTCCGTGTCTCCTCTCTGGCTGTTTTGCATCCTGCTTTTTATCTCCTTTGCGCTGCGGGGATTGCTGAAGTGACAGATGAGTGTTCTGTCCCCGGGCATGACTTGACCCAGCAGTGAACCTTAAACTGCTCAGTTTGATTTGCCGAAGCCTCGCGGTGAACAGGCTCCCATATTCCCCCGACTGATTCACAGGGGGTCCTCGGGGCCGCTGTGATTTCCGTGCCTTGTAACCTCCTACGGTTTCTGGGCTTGCATCCTTAGCTCCTGGCTGTGCTTATCCAAAGCAAACAACAGCGAGAGCGTTAGCATTCCGCCTTCTGTCTTCCTGCTGGTTGTGGGAACAGCCCTGGCTGCTTTAGGAGGGGTCGCTCCACACGGTGCTGAGGCACAAGCCGTACTAGTGATGAGATGGTGACGTCACTTTGTTTCCTGTCCCTAGAGCTGTTTGGGAGAGTTACCAACAGCTTCAGAGCCCACGCACTGAAGAAAACGTACCTATTCTGGTTACAGGAAGCAGAGGGAGCCCCGTGGGTGGGACGTTGACCTTGGAGAGGGAAACAACCCTTGCTGGAGCACAGCTTCACGTGGGTCTTGCTAAGAGAAGGCTGTAGGCCAGCGTTTGGAAATCGGGGGTCGGAGCTGTTGACCGCAGCACTGCTGATACCCCTAGATCAGGAGCGTAGAGCTGGAAGAGATTTACGGGACCCACTGTGCAGCTGGGAGCGTAGCAGAGAGCAGGGGGTTGTGGTTCTTCCTCTGGACCCCTGTGAGCCAGAGAGGAGAGCACGTGGTGGATTTGTCTTCTGGGACAGCAATTCCAGCAACGCCAAAGCTAAACTCCGGCTCGGTGGGACCTGCAGCAGCTGCTGCCTTGCAAGTAACTTCTGTCCTTACCTCCTGCCTTGGGTAGACGTGTCTGCTGGGTTGAAGCTTGGCCACGTTCAGCGTGTTCCTGTAAGGGCTGGGTTTGGTTCGCCGGGCTGCTGAATTCGGGTGTTGTGGTGTTTGCATTCCGAGAAAAAATGATTCAGCCACTTCTGAGGATGGTGAAGAAAATCTACTTGTCCAGTTATAGAAAATCTGCTCTTCCCCTGAACAGCTCCAGAGGGTGGAAAGCTGTGATTTGGCAGTGGAATGGTACTCATTAGGCACCACCTTCTGATGTTCCCAGAAAAACTGGGTTTGGCTGCGCAGGAAGTCAGTCGCAGAAAGTGGAGTCTGTTCGTATGCAGGACCTCGTCCCTGGGATTTGTCCTGCTCTGCGTACATGTGCATATGGGAGGGGGTTTTCTGGAAGAGGGTGGGGGGAAGGTCTCTCGTCTTTGCTGCAGGTACATGTTCTCAGGCCAGGCTTTGCTAGGGCACTGGAGCCCTTTTTCCTGTGTCCTTTGCCAAACTTTTTGATTGACAGCTGTATGGATATGAGCCAGCA